CAGGGCTCTCCCCTTTGTCTGTGCTGTGGTCTCAAAATGAATCTCTCAGCCAGAGGAGAGCATGCTTGAGGCATGTGCTGTTGAGGAGCAGGAGCTCTGCTGCAGACACGGCCATTGGGTATGCTGGTGGACCTCAGTCACTCTGCTGTTGTAAGATCAAGAATTGTACCAACAGCACATACGGACAAAAATCACAGTAAATGTACTGTTGTGTCAGCTGGTCTCCTGCAATTTAAATATCAGCACAATCAAAATTAAGAAGAAAATGAAGTTATTCTATTCACATGGCAATTTATATATATATATGTTTTTTGAAGTGCTAATCTGTCTGAGCTCAGGTTACACAAAACCACAGAATCATAGGGGTTGAAAAGGACCTCAGGGGATCATATATTCCACCTCCCCTGCTAAAGCAGGTTCCTTAGGATAGGTTTCCAGTTCTTGGTATTCATCTGATTAAGTGCTGATGATCTGCAAAGTGTCAGAAAGTTTCAGGAATTTTCTTCATTACTGAGAAATAAAGGCATTTAGCAGTCCATGCTATCGTAAACATGGGAAATTCTTCATGGTAGACGCATGATTTAATAAACGGCCCAAACATCCACTCCTCTGCTAACTCCTCCTTTGCTGATTTTAAGAGTTTGTGGAGCTGTTTTTAAAATAAGAATTTGACCTGGTCCCTAGGAAGGACAATGAAGCTCCTCAGAGTCCCCAGCCACATCACCCTGGCTCATCACTTATCGTCAGTGGCTCCATATGCCAGAAATCCACACCAGAATGAGGATCTGGCCCCAGGTCTGCCCACCTCCATCTGTATTTTCCTGGTCAGTGTGGTGGTGGGTGCAGTTTCAATTTGTGCTAGACAGCAACTTTCTGACCCCTGGGTACAACCCAAGGGCTAGCAGGGGCAAGGAAGCTTCTCTGGCAGGCAGCATGTATGTGGCCACTCTATCTGGAGGAAGAAAGGCACTGCAGGCAGAGATCCACTCCAGCTGAAGCACCCACTGGTAATGGGAGCAGAATGAGCCCCCTCCCACAATGGCCATGGACAGCCTGTGGGAGGGCCTTGCACAAACACTTATACTTCTGCACCCATTCTATCCACTATGATCAACATTTGTGTCCTGTCCGTTTCAAAGCAGCTGAGGGAGATCCCTCAGTGCTCAGCACTGCCACTGCCCAGATTGTGTTGTCTGTATAGGATAATGTGGGTGAAGGCAACTAGCAGGTGTTTTGATTTTCTCACTAAGTGCTGCAGATCTTAAATCTGCATGCACTGAAGACCCTGGAGAAGCCTAGAGATGCAGTGCTCAAAGCTGCAGGTTTTAGAGTCCTCTCTTTATGGATGCACACACTTACATGTTCTGAAGTCAAGCTGTGTTGGTGATTTACGACTGCAGGAGAAAATAGGCATGGCATCTGACAGTCTTATAATACCCAGCCAAAAGCTAAAAGAAAGGGCCCTAATGATAGGCAGTTTTCTGGCCAGCCTGCCAAGTCATCTTCAGGCTAGAGCAGTCCCCAGAAGAATGAGATTATTCTGGAGACTGCATCAGCCTCCTTCAACCTGCCACCAGAGCTTTGTATGCCTGGATCATACCAGCAAGTGGATTCACACTCAGAGTAGCATGAGTGGGGAAAAGAAATGGTTACTATAACTTTCATCCCAGCACTTCCAGGTGGCTCAGAAAGGGCTTTCTTTAGATGAGGGAAAGGATTTGGAGCCTCAGCTTTTTGCACGGGCAAACTTCTCAGCTCCAAAACCATGATGGATACCCTTGACTTGCAAAGAGTATCTCCCACTTTGTCCTATTGTACCTGAGCAGCTCTGTGTGTGCTGAAGCAGGGAGACCAGCACAATGAGTGCAGCCAGCCTTTGTCAGGGTTGAGCATAGCATCTGCCATATCAACCCCTGTGGTGAAGGGGATGGGCATAAACCCCAAAGCACCTGACAGAGAAGAGCACCTGAGTAGCTCCCAAAAATTCAGAGCCTAAAGGATGAAATGGCTGAAGAGGTGCTAAGTCATCAAATACATTTCTTTTCTTCCCTTACCTCCAGGCTGCTACCCTGCTCGTGTGTCCCACTGTCCACCCACCCACTCCCTCTGCTCTGGCACAGCTTTTCCCACACATCCCCCTGGGGAAGAAGGGATAAAAGCAGGCAGGTGGCCCCGCATTTACCTGCTCTGGTCCCAGTTGGCAGCAAAAAGGACGAGGATTTTCCTGCCATAGTGGTCCAGGTTGGCTAGCCCGCCAGGGAAACCATCCTTCAGCGCCTGTTTGATGCCCGGGTCGGTGGCCTTGAAGCTCTTGAACATATCCAGGTTCTGCTGGCGGTACTCAAAGTATTGTGCCAGGAGGCGAAACGCCTCGAAGTGTTGAAACTTCCTGGCCCGCAGGAACCGTAGGATGAAGGCATCATCGGTGCGGAGGAAGCCGATGTCCGGCCGGGTGATGACCATGTCCCGCACCTCCTGGATGTCCTGGTGCAAGGTGTCGGGGTTCTCGTTCAGCTCCAGCCGGGCTTTCTCCAGAGTCTCAGGGGAGAGCCCTGCCTGTAAGTGAGTCATGGCGCTGCCCTCCTCCTCCTCCTCCTCCTCCTGCTGCCGCCCGCGCTCCTCAGCCTCCCGCACGCTGGTCCCGAGGCGCGGAGCCGGGCACGGCAAATCGCCGCTCCCCGCCGCCGGGCCGCGTCCCGCCGTTCTCCGGTCCTCTCCGGAGGTTCCCGGGTCCCGGGGGCTGCTGACTCCCCCCGCCGGCGCCGCGACGCCCCCGGCTGCTGGCGGAGCCGCGTTATCTCTCCCGTATAGCGCCCTCCCCGCGGCGGGCTTCTCCGGGCCGCATCTTCCCCGCAGCCTCTCAGCGGAGGCGCCGCCGCCCGCCACCGGGGACGGGGCTGCGGGCTGACGGCTGCCGCTCGCCCCGCTGCCGGTGCCGCGAAAGGAGCCGCTAGGCAGGGCGAGCGGAGCCGGGGGCTGCTCCCCCGGCCCGGGGGTGGCAAGGGAGCTGCCCTCCCCGCCGCGGCACCATCTACGGGAAATCAGCTCTCGCCCAGTTTCGGAAGCTTCTTCGTGGGAGGGAAAAAAAATAATAATAAAAATAAAAAATCACCAAGGTAAAAAAAAAAAAAAAAAAAACAGGAGGAGGAGGAGGCAAACCGATTCTGCAGGTACTTCGCTGGTACCGGTGCCCAAAAGCGGACACGGAACCCGCAGAAACGAACGGAGCCTCGGCCTGAAGGATGCTCGTCCCCCCCCTGCGCCCTCCTCCGCTCCACGCCCCGGCTCCCAGATGGCAGCAGCCGGCGCGGTCTGCGCGGCCCCGCCTTGCGGGGACACGGACGGACAGACAGACGGACGGACACACGCCCAGGCAGCAGAGTGCCGACAACGCCAGCGGACACCGCCCCCGCGGACAGGATGAGGAGAAGCGGAGACTCAGCCTTTGCCCGCGGCGTTGCGCGGAATTTGCGCCGGCGCCGAGAGCTGCAAGATGGTGGTGTTGCTGCGGGAGGGGCCGCGCAGAGCTCGGGGTGTCATCAGAGGCCTGTATGCTGCCTCCAGCCCTCTCTGGGCGGCATTTCTTAACGTGCAGCGTTGTAGGAGTAAGAGCCTGGGCTTGAAATACAGCAGCCTTCTGTTTTGGCCTCGCATGTCTTAAAATGCATTGTGTTGCAATGAGCAAAAATACCGTGCTCCTGTATATTGGAGATGTCAGTGAGGAAAGATGCTTTTTTGATGCAGAAAGTTTGGGTCTGCGGTCAGATTTCAGGGAAAAGTTCCCGCTGAAGAGCATCTGACCTTTGTCTGAGGGATTGGACCTTTCTGATGCAAATGTCTCTGAAAATGAAGCGAAAGGTTCAGGGAAGCCTCCGCCGTGCGCCTCCTCCTCCCGCCGGTGGGAAGCGCAGCGCCTTGGTGCTTCTTTCCCGAGATGACATCGCTAAAGCACACAGCCTGAATTATTGAAAAGGCAGTGAAATCACTGATCCGTTTGCAGAGTGCAGATGGGAACGAGACCAGTGGGAAGTATAGGCTGAGTTCTAAGACAAATAAAGATACTCATAAAAACAATTAAATGGTGCCCTGCATTTTCTGCAAAGCTTCAGGTGGAACATATGAGGTCAGCAGCAGGGGGGGCTGTTGGCAGCGAGTGTGGGGCTATGGCGGGAGAGGTGTCAGATGGCAAAATCATTACTCACCAGGGGACTTCAGGGAGATTTTGTTCTCACAGTGTTCTATGAGATCTAACAGTTCTTCACCAGAAACCTTGTGCCAATACAGGTTTTACCTATTTCCTCACAGCAGCCCAATCTCAAAACACTTGCAATATGAGTGGCTGGGAGGGCAGCAGAAACAGTCCTTCCTGGGCACGAATGACATGATCTAAAGGTAGGCCAGTGTGGGAGAGTCCCTATTTCTTCCATCCAGCTGTACCGTGTACTGTGGGATGCCACACAAGAGAGGAAGGAGCAGGGTCCAGCTAAGGACTGAATTGCTTTCTAGAAACGCCAACTCTTTATGGGAGGGGAAGCTGAGGGGAGGCCTCATAGCAGCCTATAGCTCCTCATGAGGGTAGCAGAGGGGTAGCGCTGAATTCTGCTATCTGGTGACAGCAGTAGGAGCACAGGAAACAGCATGGAGCTGTGTCAGGGGAGAGTCTGGTGAATTTTAGGGAAAGGTTCTTCACCAGGGGATGGTCGGGCATGGAACACGCTCTCCAAGGCAGTGGTCATGGTCCCAAGCCTCCAGAGTTCAAAAAGTATTTGGACAGCGCTTTTGGACACATGATCTGATTTTTGGGTGGTCCCATGTGGGGCCAGGAGCTGGACTTGATAATCATTGTGGGTCCCTTTCGACTTCGGATATTCTTTGATATTCTCTGTTTCCTAAGATGCTCTGTTCCTAAGATGTAAGGAAGTAGCTTCCTTACATATATGTGGTAAATGTGCAGTTGGTAACTCTTTCTTAGAGTAGTCATTGCTCCAGAAATAGTTTGTGCTTTTCTTTTTTTTTTTTTTTTTTTTTTTTTTTTTTTTGCTTTTTTTCGTTTAGGTTTGTGCCAGTTTGTATCATTGTTTAGTCTTCCTTTTCCTTCACTCTCACTGTCTACCTGTATATTACTCACATATTCTTCTGAGTGACCCTTTCAGAGTAGCTGTTTCCATTTGCCATAGGGAACTGCTGACCAGGCTTTCCCTGTCATCATTTCCCCTTTCTAATGCTACTGCTCTGCCATTGCCTCTGTAACAAAGCTATAAAAGAGTAGGTTATGTGACAAGTGCCTCAAATTCACTTTGTGCCAGGCAGACTGTGGGCATTCATCTTGAAAAATCAAGCCCATATATGACTTCCAGTAACACAGTCCTTAATTTCTTTTTTCTTTTACAAAGGGAAACATACACACATAGCAGATTTTTCTCATGTATTTCAGTACACAAATGCAGTGAAGAGGGAAAAAAAACTGAGCTGGCAAAAATTGTAATATTATAATTCTGAAATTACATAAAAAGTTACATCAGAAGATTAAAATAATTTTTAAAAAGTTAATAAAATAATGGAAGTTTATCCAAAAACTTTCGTTTGCAATTATCTTTTTGTTTTTCCCCTTCTTGACCAAATTAATTGATTCCTCTCTTCACCCTTTCCTAAATAGAAAAAGCACACACACAGACACACAGACACACACACACACAAGAAAAAAAAAAAAAAAAAAAGAAAAAGTGAAAAAGTGCAAAGGTAGAGGATTAAAAAAATCTAGACGCAAATATGTTATTTCACCAAAGAAATCCCATTTAGAAGCTTCATTTTCAAAGAACAGATCAATTTCCGTAAAAATGGATTTACTGATATAAAAATTTCTAGCAAGTACTTCATCACATTAAAATGAAATTCAACAGCCAGTAACAGAATTTCAAGAAAACTTTTTTTAGTGAATTCTGTAGTTGAATCATAGGTCAAAATGTCGTCATCATGAATGAAACAGTTTACACAGCTCTCTCCTGATCCGAGTGGATTCAGAAGGATCTCATTAAGAAAAATGCATGCAGCAAGGCAGCTTGAAGGTAGAGCAAATCAATGAAACAAGATTTTGGTCACATTCTACCCAAGCCACTGTTAGGGCTTATTAAGATGCTAACATTTAAAAATATTTTGAAACTTTGTGTATAAAAGCATGAAAGATTTGTTTTAAGTATAAACAACTTGGTAGGAGCAATAAAATTGTCTTTATCATCTAGAAGCAGATCTACCAAACCATTTAAATAATATAATGAAGAAATATGTGTTTTCCAACATGTCGTGCTACCTAAGTCATGAGGGAAAAAAAATGGAGCCTCTAATGCAGTTAAATGCAACATACTGATGGCACAGTGTAATGTATTTATTGTGCACATGCACTTTTCCCTCTGTGAAACAGCAGGGTATCTGAATAATGCCATTATGTAAATCTAAGCATCCTTTCACATTTTCTTACAAACTATTATTTTTCCTTGATATTTTTATAGTTACATTTTTCTGAACTAAAATCTGAGTCGTGCAATCCTACAAGCACTACAATTAAGCACCTGATTTGAAATAAAAATAAAACACAAATAAGGTACAAAGGTGTTTGTGTAGGTTGTACCAGGTTGCTGATTGGCATTCAGAACAAAATTGTATAACATCAGTAATAGACTGGAGAATTCAGGAACAAATATGGAATACAGGCATGAAACTAAAAATTTAGGTCACTCAGAAAGTCATGCCTCTTATTTATTTCTATAGAAACTACAAAGAGTACAATAATCACTTCGATAGAGAAAATTCTCGGCTACAGTGAACTATTTGAACATAATCATCACCATTAGCCATGCATTTTCACCAGTGATGAAGAAGAGCCTGAATGCCACGCTCATAAAAATCTGCACCGGCAGAGGTGACCCACTATTTCACAGCTGTTATGATAGCATCCTTGCTAGGAAAATGCTGCCCACACAGTCCATCTTTCATCAGGCTGAACAGATGGAAGTCAGAAGGCACCAGATCTGTACAGTCAGTGTGGTAGGACAGCTCAGCCAAGATGGGCAGTGTTTTCTATGGTCTTCAAAGTGCTGTGAGGCCTGGCGTTATCATGTTGCAAGAGAAAGGGTGTCTTCTCTGGCCTGACTCTGCACATTTGAGACTTAGCTTAGTCACCGTCACAATGTAGCGGTCAGAGTTGATGATTCCAGGAAATCTAGAAGGATCGCTCCTTTGCTATCCCAGAAGGGAGTGCTTGTCACTTAACCTGCTGAGAGATGTGTCTTGAGCTTTCTCTTCAATGAGGAATTCACAAGTCACCACCTCATGAACAGCCATTTTGACTCCGGCTCGTAGTCGTCATACCACATCTCATCCTCAGTAATCCTGTCATGCAGGAAACTTACTTTCAGCCTCATGTTGGTTTAACAGGTCCTGACAAAATTGCAAACAGTGTTCTTTCTGCTCACGTGTGTTTATGGCACTCACCTGGAGCAAACTTTTCAACATTGCCACCATTGTTTCCAATGCACTGAAACCAATATTCAGCTCCATACACCTCCCCGATTGTAATCTGCCAGTTTGCATGAATGAGCTGAAAAAACATTCTTCATTTCACAGTGTGACAGCTGTGCATGGCCATCTGGAATGTAGCTTATCTTCCACATCGCTGTCACCTTTCCTGAAACGCACCACCCACTGCCTCACCATGCTCACATCCACTGTTTGGTCTCCATAAACATTCAGCAAATGTGAATGCAGTGTTAATGGGTAAAATTTTTTCTTCATGGAAGAATTCATTTCAACCCCTTTGCTTCATATGCACTTCCATGTCAGATATCATTGTGTCAGAATGCCCCTCTGCTGCCATCTGTCACACAACAACATGTAATAGAAAATTGGTTTTCTATTACTCTACTGCCACATCAGCATCCACCTCTGACATCATGGGCCAACATAATAAAATAGAAAGCTTTACTTTTGGAGCAGCCATCATAAAAACTCAATTAAGACCAGTATTGATATTATTGATACCTTACTTTCTGTGAAGTTGGTTTAAGACTTTGGACAGCTCTTGCTGCCATCTTAGGCTTCATTTATATTATCCTCAGCATCCTGCTCCAAGTATTATTTCATGAAAACGTGGGTATAGGATTAAGTATCCGAGAGCGTTTGTCTCATTTAGCTATGATATAGCTGAAGAGGTTAATAACATATTTGAAAGTACATAAAAACGGGAATACATGCCAGCATCCATTTCTCTTCAGCAAAGTGTTTGTGTAGGTGTATATAGTTAAGCACGTTCTTGAAGATTTTGAAAAGGGCTAAATATAATTTCAGACCTAAATGATGGCTTAATCAAAAGCAGATAAATTCAGAGTCTAGGTCCCATTTTCTGAAGTGATTTAGAAAGTTCATTGAAACATTTTAAGAGCACAAGAACAAGTATAGAGGTTCACAATAAGCGTCTTTATGGCTCCATAGCATACCTTTACAATGGCGTAGCATAGAAGACTAAGGGACAGTATCTGAGTTGGTGTTAAGTTCTTGAACTCCTGCTTTAATTAAGCAGATACATAGAAAGGGTCAAGATGCTTGACCTGTGAAGTTCCTTCGTAACTGGAACATGGGAACATCTGGAACTAAGCTATGTTGACAATCCATCTGTAAATTCAAATGCTGACCAGCTGAAAAATTGGCTTTAGAAGGTAAACTAGTCATCTATGTCTTTTATTCATCATCATATATCTAACAACATAAGAATAAATAGCCCTACAGTAGACAAGTGATAGCATCAGACCTTAATCAGATAAATACTTCAGTATGACAAGCCTACTTTAAAAAAAAAAAAAATCATAAAAAATAGAACTAGAAGAGTTTTTAAGAGATTGTCTAGTTTATCTATCCCCTATCCTGATAAATGGTTTTCTGAATGGTGTTTAAAAATCTCCAGCAGCTCTACAGCTTCTCTAGGCAGCCTGTCCCAGGCCTTCAATATCCACACTGCACATTTTTCCCAAGGTCTAATCTACCTTTCACCTGCTGCAATTTAGCCCATTGCTTTTTATCTTATCTACCGTAGACTGACAGAGTACTTTATTTTGTAGCTATGTTTTCTTTAATTTGGAGATTGCTATAAAGCTCAGGTAAAATGTCTCTCCTCTTTCTGTCCGCAAAATCTCTGTAATTTGAATTTATAGCATTTGAAATGGGTATGAGCAGGGTATTAGCATCCTGGGGACACCATTTTGCTGGGCTTTCTTCTTCTATCTACTTACCATGCCATTTTTACTGTTGGAATAGACAATCTGAGGTCAATTTCTAGATCAAAAAAATGAACTGTTATTTAGAAAAGTCAGCACATCACAGGCAAATGATAAACAAAAATAAAAGTTTCATCTAGTATTAGACCACCACAAAATATCTTAATATCTGAACTTCTTTTTTTTTTTTTAATAAGGCAATTCTAAGGACTTTTTATCAAGCAAGTTCAAATATTAATGTACTGTAAGTTAAAAGGTATCTGGCAATATAATGAAGTTCATTGTTATATTAATACTACATTAACTGGAAGCAATGCAGTCATTCATTTCTATAAAAATTTGCATATCAGAGATATGTGAGAAATAAAAGCATAGGAACTCATAACTGAGCCAATAGTTCCAGTAAGCTTAGTCAAATAATGAGTTAGGACATTAAACATTCTAAAATTTAGGTACAAAATTAATACAGAATGTTGAAGATTGGAAAGTTTGGAATAAATGCTCATTTTATTAAAAATGGATAATTGCAGTTAGGGGATAAAATTATTCATTTTTATGCAAGTACAGGAAAGACGTGCAACTCTGCTCCAGATGATGGTGGTCTTTGCCTTGACTTTCTTGAAGTCAGTATCCAAAGTTGTGTTTCTAAGTAGAAGATGTCCTTTTATATATAACAACATATGCACCAGATGAGTGACAGCTGCATATGGATGTCATGTAGATTGAAAAATCCAGGCTAGTTTATGGTACTGATTACTAATGCCAGAGTAGCTACTAAATTCACTG